AAGGGATAACTAGGGAGGCAATGAATTGGAAAGGTCATGATATACTTGATAAGCTGGTTGACAGTTGCTTGTTGGAGTTGGTTAGAGGCAGTGAAGATCGTGTGAGTATGCATGATCTTCTCCGAGAAATGGCATTGGAAATCAGTCCTCAATTTTTGGTGAAAGCTGGCATTGCCTTGGAAAAGCTACCAGAAGAGGGTGAATGGAGAGAAAATCTTTTGAAGGTTTCTTTAATGGAGAATCACATAACAGAAATTCCTTCAAGCATGCCACCTCCAAAGTGTCGTATTCTTACAACCTTGCTGTTGTCCAATAACAAGATTTCAACAATTCCAGAAGCTTTTTTTGAGCATATGCTTGGGCTCAAGATCCTTGATCTTTCTGGGAATGAGAAGCTACATAGGCTACCGAGTTCTATTTCCAAATTGGAGAAGCTTACTACATTATTGCTGAAGGGTTGTAATTCCTTAAGAGAGGTACCATCTTTATCCAACCTTGTAGGGTTAAAAAAGTTGGACCTTTCCTGGACATCAATTAAAGAACTACCCCAAGGCCTCAACATGTTAACAAATCTAAAATATCTTGGTCTTGGTGGAAGATTATCAGAAACACTTGATGAACAGCTACAAAATCTCTCCAAACTTCAGCATTTACTAATAAATGCCGATCCCGATGCCGAAACAGAATATGAATGGGAGACGATTGGAATTTGGGGGAAGCATCAAAACCTTGAGTATCTGGATCTTTATGGGTTGTGTAACTTGAATATGGTGTTTGGGGAAGTAGGAGCAATTGCTGAGTCAGCACCGCTACTAGCTGGCACATTTTCCTCTCTTCAAAATATTAGTGTTTGGGAATGTCATAAAATAAAGATGTTATTCTCGGTTAAGTGGTTGGGATATCTCCAAAAACTACAGATTATTGTGGTTTTTTATTGTAAGCAACTGGAGGAGATAATAGGGTCTGAATCTGAAGGAGGAGAAAAAGTCACTCTACCCAAGTTAGAAAGGTTAGAATTGGCCGAATTGCCCCAATTGAAGACCATCTGTAGCGGTTCTTTGATTTGTGATTCCATCAGGAAGATTGGAATTTCCGGTTGCGAAAATATAGAGAGTGTTTTTTGGTCAGGGTTCAACCCACTTTCAAATCTTGAATATCTACAGCTTTACCAATTAGAGAATCTGAAATCGGTATTTGATGAAGAAGGTCTTGGTTTATCGCCACTTGTACCTCCCACAAGCTTTTTCTCTCTTAAAGAAGTTAGGGTTTTTGGTTGTAATCAATTAAAGAAGGTATTCTCGTCTGGATGGCTGCTCCGCTACTTCCAATCTCTAGAGACTATTGAGGTTGATGGTTGTTTGCAAATGGAGGAGCTGATATCGTCATCGGTGGATGAAGAGGAAAAAGTCACTCTACCCAAGTTGCAAAGTTTGCAATTGTTCGAATTGCCCCAATTGAAGAGCATTTGTAGTCGCTCCAGTGTGTTGATTTGTGATTCCATCCAGATTCTGAGGATTTTTGAGTGTGAGAAGCTGAAGAGGATTCCTCTGAATTTTCCCTTGCTTGATAATGCCCAATCATCTCATCCTTCTTCCCTCAAAGAAATTGTGGTATGGCCAAAAGAATGGTGGGAATCATTGGAATGGGACCATCCCAATGCAAAAGACATCCTTTT